CGCGACCTCGGAGCGAGCTTGTTGTGTGAGCTTCTTGGCTCCACAGAGGTGCTGAGGGCCGCCCGTTCCCCGACTGCATGTGGGGACCCCGCCCGTTCCCCACCTGCATGTGGGGACCCCGCCTGTGCCCCGCCTGCATGTGGGGACCCCGCCCGTCCCCCTGCCTGCATGTGGGGACCCTGCCCGTCGCCCCCTGCATGTGGGGACCCCACCCGTCCCCCTGCCTGCATGTGGGGACCCCGCCTGTGCCCCTGCCTGCATGTGGGGACCCTGCCCGTCCCCCTGCCTGCATGTGGGGACCCCGCCCGTCCCCCGCCTGCATGTGGGGACCCTGCCTGTCCCCCCGCCTGTGTGTGGGGACCCCGCCTGTCCCCCTGCCTGCATGTGGGGACCCCGCCTGTCCCCCTGCCTGCATGTGGGGACCCCGCCCGTGCCCCGCCTGTATGTGGGGACCCTGCCTGTGCCCCTGCCTGCATGTGGGGACCCCGCCCGTCCCCCCGCCTGCATGTGGGGACCCCGCCTGTGCCCCTGCCTGTATGTGGGGACGTGGTTGCTAGAGCGTGTCACATTTCCACCAGGGCGTCCTCTTGGGGCCTTGCCTGCCGAGGGGACCTGGTGTCATGGGCCGTTTTACCCAGTTTCTCCTCTGTTGTTGGCTGGGAGCCAAGGGGGTGCAAAACAGGCAGCTCCATGGGGGACAGACGTCCACCCTGGCCGTCCGGCTGGCGTCTGGAACCTGGTGGGCGCAGGCGCTCAGTCCTGCCCGGCCTTTTGCGACCCCGTGGACTGTGGCCACCGGCTCCTCCGTCCACAGGCCCTGCAGGCAAGCATACTGGGGTGGACAGACATTGCCTGCTTCAGGGGTCCGGGACGCGGTGCTCACTGCCAGGAGCTCTCGGAAAGGTGCGAGGGCAGTGTGAGCGCAGCGGTGACTGTGAGCCCACACAGACGATGCCCCTGTCAGTGGGGCAGCTGGCTACACCTGGGGTGGGGTCACCTGCCCACCAGCCCGGGCGGCGCTTCCCGGAGGAGCTGGAGGGGCCTCTGTCCTGGGCCCTGGAGTTCCCAGGGCGGCCCCGTGCCCGGCTCCACTCTGCTGCGTTTCCACTCACGTTATCCCCGAGCTTCTGGGGTCCCAGTTATGGGGGGCCTCATCTCAGCCATCCTCGGGGGGCTAGGGAGCTTGGCCCAGTGGTCCTGAGAGCAGCTGGCCTGCTGTGAGCTGGGCACAGGGCCGAGGGCAAGAGGCCCTCAGAACAGCTGCAGGGCCCGTGGGCTCAGCAGAGCCCCCCAGACCCACAGCGGGGGTGGCAGGAGGGGCTTCCTTTTTGGGGGTGCAGGGCCTCAGGGAAGCAGACGAACCTTTCCTGCAGCTCACTGCCGGCTGCTCGGGAGGGTGCTGCTGCAGGCGGGCCACACGGGCCCTCCCCGCCGGCGGGGGGCCTGCTCTCCTGACCCAGGAAAGGCCGGCTCCTCATGGGGCCTCCTGGGCCTGAGTAGGAAGGAAGGCCCGCCCCGCCTGCGTGTGTCCCCGCTGTGGGATGGGGTCATCTCCAACCTGGGCGACTGGTCTCCAGGAGGTGCAGGCTTCCACAGGGTGCGTCTCCAGCCCTCAGAGGTGCTCTGACAGACGCCCTGCAGGGAGCGATGGTGAGCACGGGTCACCCTTTCCCTCGGAAGACTGGAGGGCACACTCCTGCTCTGCCTGCTTGGACATGGTTGCGAGCAGGCTCGTCCAAGGTGGGGGCCACACAGAACAGGCCCCCCCACCCGCCGCGTGGTGAGGGTCAGGCCGGCGGCCTCAGGGGCCACGGAGAGGGACACGCCACTCCCTGGCCTGGAGTCCCAGTCACGCCTCCCTCCTCCTGGGGAGGGCCCCAGGGTAGAGCCCCGTTTGTGCTGCCTTTGTGGGGGGACTGCCCTGAGGCGGCCTCGCCCACCCAGACCCCAGCTGTGGGGGCGCCTCGACCCCAGCCGCCTCCCGAGGGGAGTGAGGAAGACACCCGCCTTCCTGCGCTGACGGAGAGGATTCCGTAGGCCTGTGTTCAGTTTGGACGTGACGTTGAGAAGAAGCAGGAGGACACGGTGGCCCCAGAAGCTGTGAGCTGCCCACACAGAGCCCCTGGTGGTGAGGATGGCCAGGGGCCCGGGCTGGTACCCAGGGAGCTGGATCTTCTTAATTCAGACACCAGGGCAGCACTGCCCCCGCTCAGTGAGACGATCCTTAATTGACCGACATCTCTGCGGGCGTTTTACTGATCTTGCATGATTTTTGTCAAGACGTTTTCAACTTCTCATGGAAATGGTAAAGAGTTATTGTCCATGAATTGCTTTCATCTCCCATTTCATGGAGATCAATGTTGATGAAATGCCTGCTCCCTTTCGGGGCCGTGGGTCATGCTAGGCAAACTCAGTGTCCGCGGACCCCCGTCCTCTGCTCGGCTTTGGACACACACTCCTTAAAGTAAACATCATCCCCGAGATGCCTATTTGTTCACACACAGATTAACTGATGCCCACATGTTGGTGGCACCCACGCTGGAGGCCGTCTGGCCGGCTCTCCCCCACCCATCAGAATGAGCATGGTCCACCCATGACCCACGCGCCGGGCCCACGTCCATCCACTCCGCACCGGGCCTTGGCTCCCCGGCTCTGGCCCAGTGCCGGCCCTGCGCAGGGACGCTCACGTCCCTCTGGTTTCCCTCATGGCCCTCCCCGGAGACTGCAGCCCTGGAGCTGGCTCTGACCTTTCGGTCTGGGCAGTAGTGAGGATCAGAGTCTGTTTCCAAGAGGCTCCTTTTAATTAATCAGAAATCTGGGAAAGAACGATGGTAGCTCATGATGGTCTCTGCATTAGAAATTGGTGTTCAGCGTTGATCAATCACAGAGAAAACACGGATGCTTCTGGAGCTATGTGGCCAGGGATGGCACACCCCCGTCCCAGAAGTGTCTGCAACAGGTGAACCACGGCTTTCAGGGGGCCTTGTGGGGGACAAGCATCCAGTGAGGGTGACCCGCACAGAAGCACCCAGGCCCTGCCTCCATGCAGCCCTCCTGGGAGCTTCTGCGAGGCAGGGAAGCTGTGCACAGAGGGCAGGACCCTGGGGAGGGTGGCCTCTGCCTGAGCGTCCGTGTTAAAAACGTGAGAACTTCTGAGCCTTGAATAACTGTTTGGTTTTAGCGACTTACATATTATCAAATTCTTCTCATTCCTGAAGCATCAGATTGAACCATCATTAGTGCTTCCTGTGGTCTGAGTGCCTGTGTCCCCTCGGTTCATAGGTTGGAATCCTAACCCCCAGGTGATGGCAGTCGGACGTGAGGCCTTTGGGGGGTGTTGGGGTGTGGGAGGAGCCGCCGTGGAGGGATTAGTGCCCTTTATTATACAACAGCCTCTGGACTTTGTGGCCTTTCCCATCCTGCAGAACATGATGAGCAGCTCAGAACCGGCCCGGGGCCCTTGCCCGAGCTCCAGGCTCCTGGATCGGGGATGTCCGGCCTTCAGAGCCATAGGAAACACATTTCTGTTGCTTATAAGACACACACACGTGCGGATTGTGGTGTTCTGTTAGCAGCCTGAACGGGCCAAGCCTCCACGTCAAGTTTAGGGGGAAAATAAACTTACTGTTCGGAACTGTGATCCTAGAAATGGAGTTGGCCAGACGCAGCACTCAGCTTCGTCCCACACACGAGCCGACCGAGTCAGTGGAAACGAGACCCGCTCGCGCACTGACGCACATCCTAACTCCCGGGCAGACAGGACGCCCCCTCTGCCTGGATCCAGAGGCTTGGATTCACATGTCCAAGCTTTGGCAACTCGGAGGCACAGGTTAGAAGCAAACACGTGGCACTCCTGAGCCCTCTTGAACGGGGCGAGTCTTCCTTTGCCCCAGGGACCGCGTCCTGTCGAGGGTGCCTGTCTCCGTGTAGGGCACGTGCCCCCTTCGGTGGGGCAGATGCTGGGCACACCCCTGGTGGGTGCAGGGAGGGGCCCGGAACCCTTCCTCTTCCCCTCCCCTCCCCCCCTCCCTTTTATTTCCCAAACAAGCTAAGAGTTTTTATAATTCATCACCTGGCTGACAGATGAGTTCTGCTGGAGAATATTAGAAAATGTCTCAAATCTCATATATATGCTAATGGTATGCCGAGGCTGGTCGGCGGTGTGCGGGGTTTTAATCTGTCTTGGGCGGCGTGGGGAGCGGAGGAGACACGCCGACACCCGACAATTTATGATCAAACGGCTGAGTCGTGAAGGAAGAAGGACGTGCAGGAAGGGAGAGTCATTTTCTGATTTAACAGCGTTGTTACTACAAATAAAGAAATCTTGATTTTGACTGCACTCGACGTTAAATGAGCTTCCTGTGCCCACCGCTGGATTTTTCATTTGTGGATTCGTAGAGAGGTGTGCTTAGATACAAGTGACAGATAAGGGGGCGGTTGCATATGGAAATCAATCGTGTATAATAAAGCCATCTCTGTTTATTAAATAAACACATGTAGATTACTGCGGGGGAGGACGCAGCCATAACTCCTCACGATGTTCCTCTTTTTTTTTTGCAAGTCACAAAGAATCTTATTTAACAGCCACGCCTGCTGGATGCGGGCCCTTCTGTTCACCTCCTTCCCGCCAGCTGGGCGTCCCGCACTGCCGATTTACGGTAACGTGGTCCCCACTTCTGGGCAGGATTTCAGTCCACTGTCGTGAACACCACAGTCATTTTGGAGGTCGCACCGTTGAGTTGCATCTTGCTAATATTTCTGTTATAGAAATGGGAGAGCAGCAGGAAGAGAAACCCCAGGGGTGCTGATCTGAGAAGTGAGGGGCACCCTGCCGGTCGAGGCGTGTCAGCTTCTAGAAAATCGAGAGACAGAAGCACTACGTCTGGTCAGGCCTGGGGTCCCCAGGCAGGACAGCTCCCACTCCAAGGGCAGGACAAAGTGTGTCCCCAAAACCGACCGTGGACTCGGGGTGTGGGTGCCCCCAAAGCCAGAGAGGGGGGATGGAGCCTTGGGCTGTGCAGTGGCTTCTGGGCCTTCGGGGAAGGACACCCTGCCGGGTGGAGTCTGGGGGCAGGACCCCGGGAGGCGGGCGGGGGCTGGTGAGACACCCGGGCTGCCTGAAGCAAGGGCGGCTCGGCCCAGCACCCCCTCAGCCCCCCAGGACACTGTCGGCCACGCGCAGGACCGCTTCTGCTCGACGGCGGAGGGCGGTGAGGAGAGCTCCGGCCGCAGGAGTCAGGAGAAGCAGGTTTTCTGAAGAGAGCAAGGACTAAAGCTGGAGACGGCGGAGGAGAGCTCGGATCCTCTGTCTGCCAGGAGCCTCGCGTCAGGAGAAGAGTGCCGTGTTCCTGGGTCACCTCGGTGCCGTTTTCTAGGAGCTCCAGACTTTTTGGAAGTCGGGGTGCAAGTCAGTGCCAAAATGAGGCAGAGCAGCACCAAGTCCTGCCATGTTCTTCAAGTTTTAATACACACCCCGATTCTTGAATACTGCTTTTATTTCTTTTCACCTCATTATCAGCTTGATGGAGAAGGAAATGGCAACCCGCTCCAGTATTCTTGCTGGAAAACCCTATAAACAGAGGAGCTTGGTGGGCTACGGTTCACAGGGTCACAAGAGTCGGACACGACTGAGCTTGCACACTCACTCATCAGCTTGAAGTTTTGTAACCTGTTATCTATCACCTGTCAGTCATCTGTTTCACTTAGCTCATTTTATGTTTCTTTCCCACCTTGGACACATACTATATAATTTTTCCTCGATGCCGTTTGACAAGGCAAGTGTCAGTCATACGCTGATGGCCGTGGGCTCTCTTCGGTCATCGCAGGGCTCATCCTGGGTCAGATTCGTCTGATGCAGCTGTTCTTATCTGGATGTGACTTTGCCCTCCGCAGTCCCGCGCCCCCCATCAGGGGACATATGGCGATATATGGAGACATTGGTGATGATCAGAACTGGGATGGGGCAGGGCAGGGGTGTACTGGCATCTAGTGGTCAAGGCCAGGGACCGCTAAACACCAGGGCCAAGGAAGTGCTGGTTCCCATGGATAGTGGCGTTGATGCCGAGGAGCCCCGGCCGACGCCCCGGTCAGGAGAGAGACAGCGGGGTGTGGGTAGTGGTGGGCCTGGGGCCCAGAGCCTGAATCTGTCCTGGACACCACGGCCCCTCTTGCCGTGTGAGACCAGACCGTGATTTCACATCACCTCCCAGCTTGGGGCGTCTGTGGGCAGAAGGCCAGGACGCTTTCTCTCTTTTTCCCCTTCAAAGTAATGCATGTCCCTGGCTTGCCTCTGGAGTCTGAAGTGGGGGTTTGGAATCAGGGCACAGTCCAGGGGGTGGATGCAGACAAAATGAGGTTGGTCAGGCTGGCCGGTCCCCACGTGGGCGCTGAGCTCGGAGTCCGTTATTTGAGTAGGTCTGGAGCAGTGACCTGGAAGGTTTGGGAGCCCCAGTCTGCCATGTGATGGAGTGTTTTCCAAAGATGTTGTCATTTTTGTTTACATTACTTCTCCGTGTGGAACTTAATTTCACCTCTCTTTTGCAAGCTATTTATTCCAGGAAACACTGTTCTTATTGTACCACTCTAATGAGGTGCTGGAAGCATTCACAGTGTCAGCTTCTATTTTTGAAGAAAGATGAAATTGCCACTTTAATCTACTACAAAGCAAAAGCACTGCGGCGTGTTCAAGCAGGCACCCCGAGCAAGTCCGATTCCGTGTGCTGGGCTCTGAGTGTGTGCATGCTTTGTCTGTGAGCCGCAGAAACACAGCTGAGAGACTAACGGGTATTTTCTGTTTGCTCTTTGGGGCTCTGAGGACTTGATTTCTTCTCTGAATATTCCTGCCTGGCAGTGGCAGGCAGCAGGGGGCGGGAAGGGCTGGGTGAGCAGGGGTCCAGGCGGTGGGAATTCCAAGGCAGATGGTGCTCCCCGCAGACCCTCCGGCTTCTGGTTTGAAAACCCCACTGTAAGCCTTCAAAGCCCCAGACTGTGTGTGGGTCAGTCCTGAAGTCTGAGCGCCCTGATGGTCGGGTTCTTTCTTGCACTCTCCTTAATTCAACTGGCCCTGTAGAGGCCGCGGGGAGCCCACTCTGTGGGTGGCCAGACTCCCCGTGGACAGCTCTCAGCTCTGAGATGGTAACTTCAGGAGATGCGGACGTGTGACTGTTCAGACAGTCCTCTGATAAACCCAGAGCCTGGCGAGCTCTTCTTCAGCTCCCTCCACGCGATGTTCTGGCCTGGTTCAGAGCAAGAGCCCTGCAGGAGAAGGCAGAGGTGGCTCCTGTGACTGGGGACCGTGCGGCGGCCCCTGCTCCCGGCCCAGGCGGTTCAGCTCCTTCTCCATCCCCGAGGCTCTCTCAGGAGCGGAGAGTTGCACCCGCCCCCACAGCACGTTCTGGGTTCATCTGCAATTGTCCCTCCCCACTGCAAGCCCATCTCCTCCCGAGACTCCGTCCGCGGCTGGAGAGAGACCTCAGCCTGGGGGCTTCTGGGGTGCTGGGGGCTGAGCACAGATCAGACACATAGATGCCCTGAAAGTGGCTGCTGCCTGCACGTGGGAGCAAGCCGTGGGGTCATCACACCTGCAGACTTCCTTCTCTTCATCCTCCTGGTTCTTTTTTTTAACAGCACACTGTTATTTATTTATTTTTTTGGTTTGTTTTAAACATTTCTTGAATATTTAAGTATTAGAGAAAAGCCTAAAGATATAAATATGAACACATGAATATTTCCATTAGGGTAACTATAAATGCATTTTTTTTTCTATTTTGTTCTCCATAAAATAAAAAAAAAACAACCTAGAAACATAAAAGTCAGAGCAGATGAAGTTAACCTTTTTTTCTATCACACTTATTCAACATTATGCTAATGGTGTTCCCCTGTTTTACAGTTTTGTTTGAAAGTATGATCTAAAAAGGATTGTGTGTCGTTTAATTCTCTGAATGTTCCAGAATTTATTTAGCCGCCTAAATGCTTTCAGATTTAGTTTCTTATCAACTTTATTGAAAGATGAGATTCTGGGACGACCACTCGTGCGCGTCCGTCAGCCGGCTGTCTCGCCCAGGTCCCCAGGACCTGGGATGCTGGACCCAGGGAGGACGGTCCCAGGGCCCCGGCGCTGGTGAGGCTGGCAGCCCGTGAACTGTCTGCCAGGACCACGATAGCGATGATGCGCGTGCTGGTTACGTGTTTGGGTCCTCGGTGCGCCAGGCGGTTTTCTAAGTCCTTCGCGTGTACCAGCTCGTTTAACTTTCACGGGAGCCAGGGAGGCAGGTGCTGGGCGCACCGGTGTCCTAGTCCCTCCAGGTGTGAACCCTGACCCAGAGAACGCGGCAGGAGGCCCGCCTGCCTCCGCGCAGGCCCGGAAGCCTGTCTCCTTCCTGTGGCCGCGTCCCCGAGCACTTCGCTGCTGCTTCGCTTCCCCTTGAAACTGCGTTTGTTTACTCTGTCAGTTTCCCCTCTCAGTATAAACTGGGGGCAGAGGTGAGGGTGCTTTTTGAATTAATTTTTATCGAAGCATATAGTTTCTGCTGTGCACGAAAGTGATTCGTCTATATTACACACACACACATATTACATATTACTCACATACATCTTTCCACCCTCTTGTAGGCTCTATTCCCATATAGGCTGTTACAGAGTGCTGAGTAGTTTGCTTCTGCTTTGCTAGCTCCCTGCGAACCTTCCGGAATGCAGTGGGTGTCCCAGAGGGAGACGTGTGGTCTAGCCTCTTCAGGTCCAGCCTTTGGCCCAAGGATGCGATCTCGGTCCTCCTCGAGTTCCTCGCCGGCTGCGTCCTGTGCCTCCAGGATGCGGGTCCGGAGGCGCTCGTGGGCCTCTTCCGCCAGACTCACTCAGGCCCTGCAGCCCGGCGCTCGGGCGCGCCCCAGGTGCAGGAGCGCCACCCCGCAGAGAAGCATCACCGCAGGTGCTCCCAGCCTGGGCTGGGCTCCCATTCGGCCGCACAGACGATGCTCTGCTGTTAGCACCGGGGCTCCTGGGAACGGTCCAGAAGAGGATGTTTAGGATGCGTCCTGTGCGTGGAAGCGGTGGAGAAACGCCACTGGTGGGCTGCAGGAGGACTCACCCCTCCTCCCACCCCAGAGCTGCTGGGACTGTGATTGGGGGGCCAGCCCCTCCTCCCTACTCCAGCTGCCCCCAGACAGAGGGGATCAGCTCAGACCACCTTACGAGAGGCAGCCAGTGAGTGTGCATGGGCTTTGGCTATGCTGACAGACGTGGAGTGTGTGCAGGCCAGCAGTCTTGTCTGAGCGGCATGCTTCCTTTCCAGGCCCCTGGGGTGCCTGCGATGCTCTGAGCCCCCCCAGGCCATCTGCCCTCCTGTCTCCCTCTGGAGACACATCCTTCTTTGCACGTCCCAGAAAGAATCCACTCGCCTGAATCACGAGTGAGCACTGACGCTCTTCCTCTGTAGGGGAGCTTTGGGAGGGTTTCAACCTCAGACTCGCATCAGCCTAGACACTGGACACACCGTTTCTCTGAAATGTATCTGCTTGGAGTTTTCCTCTTCTATTCTCCCCCGACCTGGCGGACAGCACTGTGCTACCCACGTCCTTCAAATCTCCACTCCTTTCTTATGCAGAGAAGTTTATGGGGTCCTACCTTGCTTTTGCACACCAGTCATTCAGCAAAAAACAAAAGCACTAACGAAATCAGAAAAACCAGAAACCATCTGCTTAGACACTACTCGTTAGAAGGTGGTGGGCAGAGATAACATGTTGGTTCTCTCTCTATATAAAGGCATTTTTGAGGAATTAGCTTGTTTGGTGATGGAAGCTGGCAGGCCCAAAGTCTGCAGGGCGGGCCAGCAGGCTGACTCAGGGCAGAGGTGCAGTTTGAGTCCACAGGCCATCTGCTGGCAGAATTCCCCATCTTCTGGAAGGTCAGCCTTTGTTTTATCCAGGCCTTCAACTGACTGGGTGTGGCCCACCAACATTAGGGAGGGTAACCTGCTTTACTCAGAATCTTTCAGTTTAAATGTTGATCTCATTCAAAAAGCATCTCCATAGAAATACCTACAAAATTCAGTTCAGTTGCTCAGCTCTGTCTGACTCTTTGCAACTGCAACATGCCAGGCCTCCCTGTCCATCACCAACTCCCGGAGCTTGCTCAGACTCATGTCCATCGAGTTGATGATGCCATCCAACTATTTCATCCTCTGTCATCCCATTCTCCTCCTGCCTTCAATCTTTCCCAGCATCAAGGTCTTTTCCAAGGAGTCAGCTCTTTGCATCAGGTGGCCAAAGTGTTGGAGCTTCAGCTTCAGCATCAGTCCTTCCAATGACTACTCAGGACTGATTTCCTTTAGGATGGACTGGTTTGATCTTGCAGTGCAAGGGATTCTCAAAAGTCTTCTCCAACACCAAAGATCAAAAGCATCAATTCTTCAGTGCTTAGCTTTCTTTATGGTCCAACTTTCACATCCATACATGACTACTGGAAAAACCACAGCTTTGACTAGACTGATCTTCATCAGTAATGTCTCTGCTTTTTAATATGCTGTCTAGGTTGGTCATAGCTTTTCTTCCAAGGACCAAATGTCTTTTAATTTCATGGCTGCAGCCACCATCTGCACTGATTTTTGAGCCCAAGAAAATAAAGTCTGCCCCTATTTCCACTGTTTTCCCATCTATCTGACATGAAGTGATGGGACTGGATGCTATGATCTGAGTTTTCTGAATGTTGAGTTTTAAGTCAGTTTTTTCACTCTTCTCTTTTACCTTCATCAAGAGGTTCTTTACTTCCTCTTTGCTTTCTGTCATAAGGATGGTGTCATCTTCATATCTGAGGTTATTGATATTTCTCCTGGCAATCTTGATTCCAGCTTGTACTTCATCCAGCCCAGCATTTCACATGATGTACCTTGCAAATAAGTTAAATAAGCAGGGTGACAATACACAGCCTTGACGTACTCCTTTCCCAATTTGGAACCAGTCCATTTTTCCATGTTCTGTTCTAACTGTTGCTTCTTGACCTACATACAGGTTTCTCAGGAGGCAGGCCAGGTGGTCTGGTATTCCCATCTCCAGTTTGTTGTGATCCACACAGTCAAAGGCTCTGGTGTAGTCAATAAAGCAGGAGGAGATGTTTTTCTGGAACTCTCTTGCCTTTTTCCATGAGCCAACGGCTGTTGGTACTTTGATCTCTGGTTCCTCTGCCTTTTCTAAATCCAGCTTGAACATCTAGAAGTTCTTGGTTCTCATACTGTTGAGTTTAACTTGGAGAAATTTGAGCATTACTTTGCTAGTGTGTGAGATTAGTGCAATTGTGCAGTAGTTTGAGTATTCTTTAGCACTGCTTTTCTTTGGGATTGGAATGAAAACTGACCTTTTCCAGTCCTGTGGCCACTGCTGAGTTTTCCAAATTTGCTGGCCTATTGAGTGCAGCACTTTCACAGCATCATCTTTCAGGATTTGAAATAGCTCAACTGGAATTCCATCACCTCCACTAGCTTTGCTTGCAGTGATGCTGCTTAAGGCCCACTTGACATTGTATTCCAGGACATCTGGCTCTAGGTGAGTGATCACACCATTGTGATTATCTGGGTCATTAAGGTATTTTTTGAATAGTTCTTCTGTGTATTCTTGCCACCCCTTCTTAATATCTTCTGCTTCTGTTAGGTCCATACCATTTCTGTCCTTTATTGAGCGTATCTTTGCATGAAATATTCCCTTGGTCTCTCTACTTTTCTTAAAGAGATCGCTAGTCTTTCCCGTTCTGTTGGTTTCCTCTACTTCTTTGCATTGATCCGTAAAAACACTTCACCCAATATCTGGGCACCGAGGGCCAGCCAAGTGGACCCCCGAAAGGAACCGCCGCAGGGAGGCTGGCAGGCGCGTGGAGCCGCGTCCCCACGCTGCTGCAGACGCGCGGCTCCTCTGCTGAGGTGGGGCAGGGACGGTGACGAAGCTCATCTGGGCCGCTGCTTCCAGTCCTCCTGCGCCTCCAGCCCCCACTTCTCTCAGCCTCATCAGCAGCCGTCACACCGGCGTCCCAAAGGTGAACCTTACAGGTGGGGAGGAGAGGGAGGTATCGCTGAGCAGGACAGTGAGGGGCGTCACCCATCCTGAGCCCGTGGACAACAGTGGATCTTAAAAAATAGTCTGTATGTTCCAATTAGAACTTCAGCTCTGTTGCTTGTCATCCAGGATTTTCCAGAGATTTGTCTTTTTATAGCATTTCTTTTTTAAAAAATTTGATTTTAACTGATTTAAGAGGCACGTGTGGAGAAAGAGGCCAGGCTTGATGCATGTTGCAGTGTGGTGATTGCCCTTCTCCTAATGCAGCGTGGAAGATCCACTCGGACACGCGCCCCTGCCAGGCTGGTTCCAGCTCCTGTGGAATCCCCACCTTCCTCTCCTGGGGTGGCCGTGGTGGGTTCAGGTCACGGGTCCTCACCTGACCAGTCACAGAAGGTCGGTTGCTGCCCCAGCACCGTTAGAGTGGCTGAAATGCCCTGGGCTAAGTGTTATTGATTTCAGAGCAGCAGGCTTATTTCTTGGCAGCATGATCGAGTTTCAAGCTAGTTCCCATTGAATTAATTTTTGTTGTTCGTGTTTGAAGTTCAGACGGGAATAATTGGCCTGCGAAGGACTCCTTGCCTTCCAGCCGTGTGATGAAGCTGGAGGCAGGCATTTCCCTGTTCTCCAGGGATGGGTTTGGCTCTGAAGCCTTTGGTGGTTTCCAGGAGACCGTTCAGACTCTGCCCGCAGTCCGCGGCAGGCCAGGCAGGAGGAGCAGGTGGGCGCAGGGCCTCTGATCTCCAGCTGTTTGTTTGTGGTCCGTGATGAGGCGGCTCTGGGGGACCATCTGCCCTGCATGGAGGAGGTTTGCTGCCTTTGATTCCTGGCGAGATCCAGGGCCTTCGGGTTTGTGGTGTGAGCTAGCGGGGGGAGACTGTGACCAGGGTTACACAAAATGCCACTTTCAGACTTCACAACCTCCCAGGCCATCCACACGTAGACCACACTCAAAAGGAGCGGGTCTGTCTGATCCTTCCCTTTTCTGTTTGGCTTTGTTTTCATTCTTTGCCTCTTTTAGATTGGGTGTTGGGTTTACCTGTGTATGAAGATGTAGGGGACGGTCTTTCTGTCCTCACATGAAGTGGGGATGCCTTCATCAGAACTTGGGGCTCCTCTGGGGGCCAGCCTTTCACTGTGCTCAGGGCCGGCTGGGACAGTTCACGGCAAGCACCTGGCCAGCATGACAGCTGGCAGTTTTGTGATTGCAATTCAATCTACCCCACAGGGCTTCCGGGGAAGGAAACGCAGCGATGTGCAGAGGGGTCTCTGAAAGCCTTGAATGCTGACCACTCTCACTGCTGACAAAGTGCATGCAGAGACGGTGAGTCAGGCTCTGTCCTGAGCTGGGGTCTGCTCTCCACCCAGGCACAAGGCACGCCTGGGACAAGCGCGATAAGCATCTGTGAGCGTCCCCTGGCTCATCCGTACCCCGTCCCCTCTGTCTGCAGAGACTCAGAGAGAAGCAGCCACCTTTTCAATGTGCTTGCTGAGTTGCTGGTGTGGATGCTGATTGTTTTCTGATTGAAGATGGAGGGATCGCTCTCTACAGGAAGGGCCTGGCTGGGGGCTGGGAGGTAACTCTTTTCTCGGTACCCCGGTGTGAAATCTGCCGTCCTATAGTAGGCTCAGTCGGATTCTTGGTACCAAAGCTGGAGAAGCCTTCTGGTCAGTGTCTGTGGGGCAGGGGGTGAGACGTGGGGAGGACCGCTGGGTGGTCTGATCCCCCAACCCCTGCCACGTCTCCCCAGGTGGGGCTGGGAGGAGTTTTCAGCAGGTGTTTGGTGGCTGGTGAAAATAAAACCCGGGAGCCTCAGTGAGAGAGGGGTCCTGACCAGAGAAGGCTGGTCTGGGGAGATGGTCTGATCTCCACAGGCCTGTGTATCACGAATAGCTAAGGAGGTCACAGATGCCCATGAATCTTGTTTGCTTTGGTAAGTGAATGC